CACATGCCAAACGCTGGATTGCTGAAATGACACTGAGTTATCGAAGGCTGCATGAATATTCCTAAACATTAAATCACTGTCGATAATGGCGTAGAATCGTATTCATATTTTCTCTGATAAATTGCGCAAGACCAAACGAATAATAAATTAATTATTGTTATCACTAAACATCGTAGATGAGAAACAACAATTGCTAAGGTTACCGTAATGTGGAATTCCAAAATGATGCCTATCGATCAAATGGCTAAAATCATTAACAGATTTTAAAAAATTTGTCATTACGTTCAGTAATATTGTAGCTATTTATTCGTAACTCAGCACTGATTGATTTGGAATAGAAAAAAGACAATTCATTATAATGAATTATAGGTGTCATTATAAGTTTGAATTTATTATGAGCATTTTGCGGACAAGCAGCGTGAACAATGCTACAACCGCTAGTCTAAACCTACGTCATATATACCGAAGATCGTCTATAACAGCATCTGGGCAGATGCCACTTGTGACAGTTCGATGCACGTTAAGTCACAAGCACTACATTTTTCCGCTAAATTTCGCTAATCTTGAATTGTGCCATTTCGAAACTGAAACAGTTCTTCGACCACCTCTGGCAATGCAGAACACAGTGGTTAAAATTCTTAAAAATTTAAAATTCAGTGATATATGTGCTGGTCAGATTTCTAATTAGTCTCATATTTCATGTCAAAATATTTTTTTAATGTTGCGCTACAGATGAATTACCACAAGCAATCGTTTCACTGCCAAAAACACAACTAGAAATTCCAGTTGTGTTTTTATTTGAACCAAATCCAAGCAATTTATCAGGAGGATATCGAATGATCGTACGCTGTGCTAACTACGAACAACTGTGAATAACATTACCTGTGACTGATTACATATTTGATTCAAAATACTAGAAGTGTGTCAAAATCTGCTATTGCCGGCCGGTCCCAATTCTCAATGAGAAAAAGGGCTGGAGACTGGGCGAATTCTCCGTAAAACTTGGCCAAGTGACCCTCATGGTATTGTGCGGTCATCGAAAATCATACCGGCTCGGTTGTTCTCCGGGTTAACAAGGGCCTTGTAGGCTGCTGAGGGACTGAGGCAGACCGCGCAAAGAGGGTGAACGGAACCTGCTCATAGCTTTCTTGCAATCGGGGTCGCAGCAGCACAACAACGGCTGACGGCAATCGACGAAGTGACGACAAAAACATCAATCTGCGAATAAGACTACCCATTCTGAACGGAGGAGGCAGACAGCGCAATGCCATTATAGCACAGAAAATGGCCCACGAGAACCAGTGGGAGCTTACAGTCGGAAATTGGAATATATCCTCCCTCAGAGGGAAAAAGCAAGAGTTAGTTGAAGAAGCCGCAGTGTGTACCAACTCGAAAAAGTTGGACTCTCGTCAAAGAATGACCAAGACGCCGGAATCGTGAATCTCTGCGGGGAAAGGTTATATTTTCTGGCGCGATTAGGCGGGTGATAGTGTTCTGGTAGAACTCAATCTCGCAGATGAAATCATTGACTGAAAGCCTGTCAGCGGAAAGATAGTAATCCTCTGACAGAAGCGACAACAGGTTAAAGGGCTGAACTTCGTACTGGTCTGTGGGCCGAATTTGGACGGACAATATGATACCTTCTTTGAAGAGGTGCGGTTTGCTCTGTCCAAAGTGTCGAATACAGAGTCTCTCATACTGATGGGCGATTTTAATGCGCACGTCGGAGTAGACGCTGAAAAGTGGAACGGCGTGATTGGAAAAAACCGCCCTCGCCACCTCAGCAAAAACGGCATGAAGTTGTTGCGGTTTTGTGCAAACAACGGATTGTCAATTAAGAACATCTTCTTCGAGCATCGGAGTTCACCAGTATACCTGGTGTGCACAGAAGTCGATGATCGATTTGATAATCGTATCGTCTGCCTTAAGACCCTCATTAATGGATGGTCGTGTTAAAAGAGGCACAGAGCTATCAACCGATCATCACCTCGTTGTTGGCACGCTGTTCTGTAAGAAATGGAGTACCAAGCGAAGAACTGGTTGCAGAAGCAACCTGAGAATAAAATGGGAAACTTTATTTTCGGTGGACATGAGACCGAAATTTGCAAACAACATCGCACGACGGTTTGAACAGATCCCGTTGATGACAACTGTTGTGGAAACCGAGTGTCAGCTCTATAAGAGCCTGCGGCCTGGAGGTCAGAAACAGATCTCCTGATAAATGAGAGATGGGCTGCGGCGGCAACGGTGCACTTGACTGGGAAGACTACGCTACAGCAATTTACCTCCCTTTAATGCATTGGGTCTGTCATCGACAAACGCGTGATTGTGAAATCAAGAAATCAAAAAGCACTTATGAATAACTAAAGCTAACCTGAGAAACCTTATTAGAACATAGAAATTTTGTAACGACAGAAACTGCATGAAGTTGAGGTTCCTCAAATCTTTCATTTGGCTGATTACAACTTACGTACGCCGATGCAGTGAGGCAGAACCTAAATTCGACTGGACCTCTGAGAAGTAATGCTACTGACGACTGCTACGAATATTCTGTACCGAAATATAATCAGTGATTGTGTGCTAATAGAACTTGAAACTCAAAATTCGCCTTTCAGAAAAATCGGTATGAGGACATTTTGATATTTTGATCACGTCATGAGAAGGAACGTGCCTGTTTATACAACTGCCACTACAAAGCTTTGCCTGAGAATCTAAACCAAAGGCAGGCCGCAACTATGGTTGAAGATATCATACAATGGACCCAATTTGACTTCGTTGCTGTTATAATAATGGCACAAAACTATTATCTGGTTCTACCCTCTGAATAGCGGATGGCAGCTGATACTATGCTGAAACGTATTTAATTGAAATGCACCTGAAAAGATCGAAATACTGTCTCTTGGCCTTTTAAAAAAATTAAATTCATGGCCAATTTGATACACTAATAAAATTGAATAATCTTCACCGTCGAAGATTTACGAATGCCCCCAGTCATACCAGATACGTTTATGCGTTGGTGATAAAAAAACAGCGTCATATTTCTATCTGTTTTCATAATCATCGTCAACAGCTTTGAAAAAACACCATAACAAGTAAGTTGTTTCGTTCGGCAACTGCTGCAGTCACAAACATCGACTGGAAGTTCCTTCGATCTACTTTAACGGCTATTAGGATTGATCCTTTGCATGATGCACATATAGATGTGCTGAAAAAGTGGAACTGGAACTGTTAATCTATATCGAAGATCGTGGTCGGCGATAGAAATAACAGGTCATAAAAACTGGCTGATGACGTCAGCATATGTAAAGTAACTTCCTGGCTGCGGGGGTTTGCAACCTAATTAACGGAATTTATATATACAAAGCAGTTTCGTTGAGAGCAGTTTCGTTGAGAGATAGGAAACACTGTGTCGGGATTAGAACTAAAGGAAGAAATATGATTCTTACGTGGCTGCTACCTGTATGCCTGCTCGTTTGCTACTGTACAGCAATGAACGTTGCTCGAGGTACGTTTTAATGCTGACCATTCTGACTATCAGTTCAAGGTACATATTAAATAGGACGATTTGTTCGGCAGCAGAACCCAATGGACGGCATAGGACCAGCAGTGCCTCCATATGCCATACCTGGTGGCGGATTCAATCCAGAAGGCGGATCTAATCCTATGCCCGGTTGGAACCCAAAGGACGGCGTAGGGCCAGCAGTGCCTCCATATGCCATACCTGGTGGCGGATTCAATCCAGAAGGCGGATCTAATCCTATGCCCGGTTGGAACCCAAAAGACGGCGTAGGGCCAGCAGTGCCTCCATATGCCATACCTGGTGGCGGATTCAATCCTGAAGGCGGATCCAATCCTATGCCCGGTTGGAACCCAAAGGACGGCGTAGGACCAGCAGTGCCTCCATATGCTATACCTGGTGGCGGATTCAATCCTGAAGGCGGATCTAATCCTATGCCCGGTTGGAACCCAATGGACGGCGTAGGGCCAGCAGTGCCTCCATTTGCTACGCCCGACAATGGGTTTGGCTCGGCCTGAGGATTTCAAATTTAAGGTCGAATAAGCTTCATATTGTACCAAAGTTGATGATTTGCTAATTTGCAGCTCAGGACGAAGCTTGTTCTTTGAAAACGTTGCCGGGCGAATATTCCTCCTCTCGCTATAGTCTGTCATTGTGAAAATTATTAAATTGTTACGTCTTATGATTCTGTACTGTTATTCAGTATATAGGAAGTTAAATTTGGACCGAGATTGTAGGTTAGAGACGAATTTGATAAAACATTGAAAACCTGCAACAATAGTTAACAGAAAACCCGTGAAGAAACTTCAGGCAACGACAGACAGCAGCTCTGAAACGATGAAATACAGTTCTGTCATATG